TGGTTAATTGAAGCGGACTAAAAATGGTATGGTATGTTTGAATGAATGTGAAGTTTCTATAGTACAACCTAATGGTAACTATTTATTGTTAGTGTTTTAGGTTTTAAGATTACAATTGATAATCCTTGTAATCTCTTGAAATTTGTGTAAATTCATTGCAACGGGCGAGATAAAATCAAACAGGTTGGGAGCTTCTTCAGTATGAACTCATCTTACGTGGGCTTATATTTTCAACCAAATGATGCAATCTTTTTTGTACAGTATATACCGATGAACAGTGACGGATCTAGGAATTTTATCGAGGGGGCCCAATTAAAAATAACAATAAAAAAAATCAACCGTATAAATAAATAAATCAGTACAGGACAAGTACTTACGATAACTTACGATATCATACAGATATCATGGTATTCGAGAAAAATAACTTCGATAACATTGAGATATCACAATATTTCTCTTCAAGGGGAAAAAATAAAAAAGGAATTACACAACAACAAATTCATTATTCAAATGGCCAATTGAAATATATGGCCCTCGAAAAAACTGTGTGAAAAAAACTAAAATCTATGAGAATCCCACTACATTGGACCTCCATCCTCAACAATCAACGTAACACATTAAATAACTAAAGAAAAGAAAATCGAAGAAGAAAAAGAAATACTAATTCAACACGTTATCTGCTGGACGAAAAAAAAAAAAAAAAAAAAACTGTTCCATTGATATCAATAAATCTGCACAAATTCCCTTAAAGAATGAAAAATTCAATATTCTCTGTTTTATCCAACATAAATCGCATTCACAACTTCCATTGATATCCTCCATTGAAAGTAGAGATTAGTATAAAATATAAATCGCGTTCACAACTTCCATTTATAGTTTTTCGAAGCCGGATGGACGAACGGACGTGGTACGGCCCGTACAGGGATCGGGAGATAATATAGATTTCTCAAATCTCAAGGTTTTTTTTTAAATGTTGTGTATGATCTTCCTGTCCAAGCTTCAAAGTTCCATCCGATTCTACCCATGTATTTTTTTTTTTATTTTTTTATATTATTTGAATTTACTAAAATACCTCTAAAATTTTAAAAAATTTCAGTGGGGCACTGGGCCCCCTACAAATCCGTCCCTGCCGATGAAGTTTTCAGATTTTTTTGTTGTGCATTAACAAGCTCAAAACTTAACATGCGATTCTTGACAACTCAGTTACACAAAATTAATGTGTGCTCTTGTTTTGTTCTCCGTTTGATGGGATACAACAACGCTCAATCAATTTATGTTTTGAGTACTTATTTTCGTTAATTAAAGCTCTATTCTTTTTGCATTTAGATACTTTTTCTTTATTTTTCGGCAGAATTTATAGTTTCCGACTTTAGCGGGAGTTTTTTTAATGCATTTTTCACGTTCCATTAAATTTCACATTTTTTTATTTATTTTAAATTTAATATACATTATTTTATAGTAAGAGAATAATTGTATACCTATGTAATTGTATTTTTTTAATAAATTTAATAGTGCAATCAAGTACAAAAAGAATATAAATTTATTATCATATTTGTATAATTGTACTTAAATAAATGATTAAAACTGAATTTCACTAAGATCTAAATTTTCATAAGGTCCGATTAGTACAAAGGCTACGTCACCGTAGAGTTACCAAGACCCTCCTATTCGCGAATCTTAACATACCTGTCAAATTTTTTTATCAATAATCTTTAGTATTTTTTCTCAGAAATTTATTGATTTTGAGAGAACAAAATCATCTATGCTAGGTGATTGAACAATTATACTAACTGGAACCTATAATGGTTCATGATTGACAATATTTGTAACCTTTCACATGAAATTTTAGAACTAATAAAGTAGAAGTACGAGCTTATGAATCTATAGTTTGAAATTCTAATTACAAATTTTTGCATATAAATATACTAACAAATTATACTTTATCAACAGGTAAATATATGAAGCTTTTGATGTTTCAACTTTCAAACTCGGTACAACTGCTACTATGTCATGCATTTATATATAGCTTCATGATAAAATTGGAGGCCACACTACAGATGGATTTGAAAAGAGACAAAAATAAGTTGGAACGTTGGACTTTTAACCAAACAGCCCGTTTCCCACCTTGATTGGTTTTTGCGTGAACGGAACGAACTTCTATAAGAGAATTATAAACTATAAATATAAATAACATAGTAAAATAGACGTATCATTAAAATTAATATAAATAAGGTTGAATTGTTAAATGAATCGAATTTTAATTAAAAGATAATATTTAATTTTGATAATATGACACAGGGTCCTTCAATTTATGTAAATCGAATTATGAGCACAGATATCTTGAATTGAACAATAATATTTATAACTAGTACGTCACCCGCGCGTTGTGCGGCTTGATCTTAAAAATAGCGTTAATGAAATTTTTGTTTATTATATATTTAAATATTTTTCTAAATATAATATGAGTAGTAAAAATGAATTGTATTATGTAGTGCCCCGTTCGAATAAAAAGAGTCGGTTATTTATGATTTGCGTTTGCATTGCTTTTCTTTTATTTTTTTTGCTCGACTAAATTCTATAAGTTTGTTTAGATTATTTAGATGACCTCATCTAATTAATCTATTGAGTTAAAAAAATTTCGTAGATGTCCTCGTCTACTTAAATTGTTTCAGGTTTTATGATATCTTTTGTCAAACGAAAAATCGTTCGATTTTAATTGTTCGAGTGAAATCTCTTTGTGAACCTTTTTCTGATTTTTTTCCCAAGCTTGGACCAAACATATTTTTGGCCTTTTCAAGCCTTGTACTTCGATCGGCACATTTTCCTTCAAAACTCCGGCCCTTGAGCTTGCAAAAACCCGGCCCCATTTTGCTAAGGAGTTTTGGCTCCATTTTTTATTCAAATTCAAACACCCCAAGGATCTTTATTTGGTAACCTTTTTGTGATCTCATCAGCTTCAATCCTAGCCTATTTTTCTCCCCAAATTAGCCCCAGGACACCCAAGATCTCGCACAAATCAGCCCAAGAAAGGCAGCTGAAGCAGCACGAGATGAACTATCCGAAGCACGACCTAGAGTTAGTTGCCGTGTCCATACAATAAAGATTTAGAGACACTACCTTTACAAGAGTAAGTATGAGGTCTTAATGGCCCGCAAGAGTCTGAAGTACTTGTTCACGCAGAAGGAGTTGAGCATGAGGCAGCAAAGATGGCTTAAGCTCGTTAAGGACTGTGATTGCACGATTAGTTACCATCCTGGGAAAGAGAATGTGGTGGCCGACGCTTTTAGCCAAAAGGGTCGTGGCGAGCTAGCCTACATGATCACTCAGCTGGAGTAGCTGATTTGGGAGTTGCTCGATTAGAGATTGAGGTAGTGGAGCTGTCTTTCGGAGCCAATGGTATTCTAGCATCATTAGTTCTAGGACTGACCTACGAGAGAGGATCGTAGCAGAGCAGCCGAATGGTTGTTTCTTGGGCTGCATGAGAGAGTTATCTCGAGCTGGCAAGATGGGAGGATTTACAGTGGTATCCAACGGGGCCGTAGTCTTCGAGCAGAGGCCTTGTGTTCCGAGGGTGTTGGAATTGTGAAGGGATATCTTGGAGGAGGCACACAACGCCCCGTACTCCGCTCATCCTAGGAGTACGAAGATGTACCAAGACCTTAAGAAATCTTTCTGGTGGAGAGGTTTGAAGCGGTATGTAGCGAGATTTGTGGAGCGTTGTTTGGTGTGCCAGCACGTGAAGTACGAACATCAAAGGCCGTCTGATTTGCTTCATCGACTTGATATCCCCGAGTGGATGTAGGAGCATATCACGATGGACTTCGTGGTGAGCTTTCCGAGAGACGAAGGGGAACGATGCCATTTGAGAAATAATGGATCGTTTGACCAAGTCCACACATTTTCTATCGGGTTCTATTAGGAACGACAACAACATGCACGTTTGAATTTTGAAATAATAAACCCTAACGCAGCAGAATCTATAGTTAGAGTTAGGACATTACCGTTTAAAACTTTTGCCGACTCAAAGACGTTTTTGATTTCCTTTGACGGATATCGTCTGATTACCACAACTCAATTGGTTGAAGGGTTTGGCCTTTTTCAACTTTAGCCCAGTGTTGAATCACGAACGGATCACCGGAACGAACTTCTTGGGCTCAGGCCAGTTGGGTTGGTTCAGATCAGTCTCAGGTCCCGTCGGGTCGCAGCGGTTCAGGTCGCGGAAGCTGGCTGGTCGCGTCAAGTCGTGACGCATGGGAGGCAGCTGATCGGAGCGCATGTGCGTGCTGGACTGGAGTCCTAGGTCGACGCTGAGAAGGACTCGGGCACTAAGGTCACGCGGCGCGGGTGTCCTAGGTCGTCGAGGACTAGGCGTGCAGTGATTGGGCGTCACGCGGGCGTGTTCGGCAAGTCTCCTGGACGATCGAGGTGTGTCAGGCGCGTGGTTCGCGGTCGCTGGGATTGGAGACGATGGTCACGAGCAGGGACGGAAAAGCACGAGCAGGCAGTGCGGCACGGGACTTCGCGGCTGGGATCTGGGACGGCGCTAGGCTACGCGCGGTTGCGGGCGGAGCT